ACCTATTCAATAGTTATTGCATCCAATCCTTGAGCTCCCAATAGAGCCTGCCCCAACTCCGTTCAGTTCAATCTGGATTCTCAGAATATTCTTGTAGAATAATTGGAAGTTTTTAAATCCAAATGGATCCTATCGAATGTCCTCGAGGTTATGACCAAGTCTGCCTCGACCGAGCCCAATGAGAATATCGCACACAGTGGGCACGTGTCTGGCGCAGTTGGCTGAATCATATCGCTGAGGACAAGGTGTGTTGACCAGGTAGGGTGGCCCGATCAGAAGGAGTCGAAGAAAGCCAGGGCAAGAGAGCGCAGGCCTCGACCTCCACCGCGTCGTTTCGAAGCTGCCCGAAGGAGGAGAACCTGGCCGAGGGTGGTCGACTAGAGTCACGCAACGAGACCCGAGAGGCCACCTCGGGGGTACCGCCGATTGTTTCCGAAGCAAATCAGTCAGTCTGCAGAATGAAGTGTCCGGCGTGGCTGGTTTTCGCTCTGCTCCCGCGTTTCTTCGCGGTGATACCGGTCGGCCTGTCGCAGAGGACCCACGGGAAGCAGGGCCTGGGACGCGACCAGCTCCTGGTCAAGATACCGGACCAAGGAACGGTCGCTGGCAAGGAGGTGCGACAATTTCTTGTAATCACCGCGGCCCACCCTCCGCCAGGTGCCACGCGTGGATATGGTTGCTATGCGATTAAACGAAACGCTTTTTCGAGTCGCGACTGCGGTGATTCCCTCACCTTTTCGCCTGTGTCTTCTCGAATTTGCTGATTTAGGGGAGTTCGAGGGAGCCTGACGGTGTTGAGGGGTGGACAGTGGTGAGAGGACTCTTGGAAGATTGTAGTGGAGAATTAGCGAGGAATTAAAAATTTGGTTACAAGTTACAAAATTAGAGAGGTAGAGGAAATATTTGTTTGATATTCTGGTGCAGTAATTCTTTCTACAATTTAAGAGAAATATTTTCAATGATTTGTATAATCTGAGGGTGGTTCTTTGGGGATGGACAGTGGTGGAGAATTAGAGAGGGATTAAAAATGATGATGCAATATTTTTCTTGCAATTTACAAAATTGAAGGAATCGGATGAAATATTTGTTTGATCTGGTGCAGTAATTGTTTCTACAATTTAAGAGAAATATTTTCAATGATTTGTATAATCTGAGGGTGGTTCTTTGGGGATGGACAGTGGCGGAGAATTAGAGAGGGATTAAAAATAATGTTGAAATATTTTTCTTGCAATTTACAAAATGAAAGGACTCGAATGAAATATTTGTTTGATCTGGTGCAGTAATTGTTTCTACAATTTAAGAGAAATATTTTCAATGATTTGTATCCCCTGAGGGTGTTTCTTTGGGGATGAACAGTGGCGAGAGGACTCTTGGGAGATTCTAATGGATAATTAGCCACGAATTACAATTTCTTTTACAATTTACAAAATTGAAGTTATCAGAGGAAATATTTGTTTAATATTCCGGTGCAGTAATTCTTCCTAAAATTTACTTTAAATATTTTCAATGATCTGTGTACGTAATATACCTTGGTTCTTGATTATTAATTATGCTTGGATTAGTCAGTGACTTGATCTTATCAAGATTGGCTCAATCTTATCGTTAAGATCCTTTGGAGCCTTCGAGCCTTCTCAAAGAATGTTTAATAATTCGAGTCAGTATAATTCTATCGTTAAATTTGATGGGTGGTTATCTTCTTGTGATCTTCAGGGATAGTCCTTTCAGAAAATGTTTCAATCTGAAAAAGAAACTCAATTCGAGGTTGGTATAGTTTTATCATAATATTTGTTGGGTTGTTATTCTTCGTACTTGTATGTTATTTATGTGTTCCCCAAAAGTAACCTCTACATCTTTCTCGGCCTTGGTAATCCTTCTATCAGTGTTCCTTAAATACAGTGGTCATTAGGGATAGCCTCTTCGAGCAGTGGTAGAATTGAAATTTAGATTGTTGCGCCACAGGTTGATCATCAATTTTCTCGAACAATTAATCTTTTCACTCGTGTCCTTTAAATGCAGGCTGCTTTAGGGGTACTCTATCAATTCTTTATCTTTCAATTTCGAAACCTTCCTATACCCCACAGGCCACGTTGAAAATTCTAGCCACGAGTACGCATCATTTTCTGCTACATTTCCCTAATTGTCCTATTCAATTTACATTTTCTTTTTTCATTTCAATTTTTATTACCCTGCCACTGTAATTCTCAGCCTTTCTCTCTCGAAGAGCATTCTTTCTTAACGTATTACACCTTTCTGTGACGGGTCCAACGATGTAGAACTAAAACGCATAGATCACTGTCTGACATGAAAATAGTGAAGCGAGAAATACGCACGTTGAATAATTATTTGACATTTTATCCGAGCTAAGAACAAGAACATGCAAGCGCCGTAAGTTTCAATTGTTTGAATTAAGTCCATGCAGGTAACATGCACAATAAAGAACCTAAACGAGGATGGAGGAGGACGGGGAGCATTTATGAATTTTAATATCATAGATGTTTTGTTTCCTCTTTCATCCTTAGAGGGTTCGAGTCACGGTAAATTTACAATTCAGGTAACGGGGCTGAAAGTTTTTCGAACCGCGGCCTTTCAGGCTCATTTCAAAGTATAATCCTGTCCTTTGACCTACCCTGGATTTGTAAAAAAAAAAATCTCGTACGGAAAACTTAATTCTACGATATTTGAATTTGTTTAATCCAACGTTTACCCTAAATACAAGCACACTTGTTATTCTGCTTTTTTGGAATTCAAATCTGTTGAAAATGCGATTTAAAAATCCGAATGAATTATTGCTATTCTTAAATAAAATTAACGACCTCTTTAGAAACATCGTACATTCATCATTCAATTTTCAACTTGATACTTCAATCTAAAACTTTAATCCGCTCGCGTTTGAAGAAATAGGAAATTACATCAGGGAGAGGAATTGCAAAGAACTTTTTAGATATGAATAATGTTATTTTAATTGCGTCCCGTACTACAGGCGAGCCAGTCATTTTTCCACGTTCTCGGACCGTGGTTTAAATCCGAGCAGCCAGAAACTCTGATTGTAGGTTACTTCAGACGATTACCCTTAACCATACACACAGGCAATTTATCGGATTTAATTTTAGGTTATCGCGAGAGAACCTTGTCGAAGGCTTAGCTTTTCTGTCGAGTATTCACGGCGCGAGCAAATAACGTAAAATTTTCGGAATTAACTGCGAGACGATTCTTGGTGGAAATTCTAAGAGACGCGTTCCTACAACATTTTAAAAAAATTTCACCTTATAGAGAACGAAAAGACGAAACTTTTTTGTATTTATAGTTTAATTGTATGACGTTTAGTTTCAAAAATAAAAATTAGAACGTTTGAGGTCCTTAGAAAGCATCGTTAGTTGACCATCACTCATTTACAATTAAATATTAATAAACTGTTCGTTAAATCAATTTTTCTTAAAAATGTCACCTTATAGAGAACGAAAAGACGAAACTTTTTTGTATTTGAAGTTTAATTGTAAGACGTTTAGTTTCAAAAATAAAAATTAAGAAGTTTGAGGTCCTTAAAAAGCATCGTTAGTTGACCATCACTCATTTATAATTAAATATTAATAAACACTAATGGATTTTCGAGGTTTTGATAAATTGGTAGACGTTGGTGGATCTTACTACGTACCTATACCAAATTTGAAAGACTTTCGATGACCCACGACCGAGTTACAGCAATTTATATTTTAAAATGTAATTGAATTTCAGGATAAAGAACTGCTAAGTTTTTAATTTTTATTTTTGAAACTAAACGCCATATGAACAAATTGTAAATATAAAAAAGTTTTGTCTTGTCATTCTCTATAAGGTGATATTTTTTAAAAATTGATTTAACGAACTGTTTATTAACATTTAATTGTAAATGAATAATGGTCATCTAACGATGCCTCCCAAGAACCTCAAACTTTTTAATTCTTATTGTTTAAACTAAGCGTCGTACGAAAAAAATTGTAAATACAACAAAGTTTTGTCTAATCATTCTCTATAAGGTGATATTTTGTTTTTGGTGTTCTATTAACGCGGCCCTTAGAATTTCGACCGAAAATCGTCCAGCAGTCAAAGGGTTAAGGATTTCTTTGTCCTCCCTGTATTTTAAATTTCATTGTAAAAATATTCCATTCTAGGTATTCCTAAATCCTCCCTCTGTAAGGGTGATACAGTATTTGGGGATCCCCTACGCCCAACCACCGTTAGGTAAGTTACGTTTCGCCGCTCCTGTCACGGACCCCCTTCCGTCCTGGAAAGGAATACGAAATGCCACGCAATTCGCACCCTCCTGCCAACAAGTGACGAACCGACTGAAGCTACACGAAAAACATTACAAGAGATTACTACCAGCCGATCAACCTGACCCTGGAGTCAACGAGGACTGCCTTTACTTGAATATCTTTGTACCCGATGGTAAGCCCAAGTAACATATTCTTCATCTTTAAATTTATTTTCTTCATCCCACACTGGGTTACCCTTTTCAAGATTAAACATATCCACCTACACTCGACTGGAAAATTAAAAATTCGATGCAATTTAGTAGTAGAAAAATTTGGGGAGAAAAATAAGAATATATATTAATTCTGAAGGTGTTGGTTTGGAAAAATGAATCTGGATAGGATTGGTAAGTTTGAAAAATGTCGCAAAAATGAGTACTGACACAAACGTTGGATTATGTAATTTCTAATTGTATAGACAACAATTTTAGCCACCCACACTCGACTGGAAAGTTAAAAATTCGATGCACTTTAGTAATATATAAATTGGGGAGAATTTGCAATAATATTGACACGTTGCCTGCAGCATACATGAATGACAAAGATTTTCACTGAGAAATTAGATACATTAATTCTGAAGGTGTGGGGTTGAAAAAATGAATCTGGATAGGACTGGTAAATTTTAAAGATGTCGCAAAAATGAGTACTATCACAAATGTTGGATTATGTCATTTCTAATTGTACAGACAACAATTTTAGCCTCGTAGAAACTTTCACGATT